ACTTATCATAGCAAGCTGAAATGTTCAGGATTGAAATAGTTTTTACAATAAAATGAATAATGAAAAACAATCTCAATTTTTTTACCGCCCTACAAAGATGAGTGATGGAAGAGATTGCTCACAAAAGAATGAGTTTATGATTTTTTTGCTAAACCTAATGTTTTAGTTCATTGTCCCGTTTTTTTCGAAATTTCATAAAATTGCAAATATCTCCTGAACTATATACGGGTTCATTCGATAGGTTTTGAGGCCATCTATCACCTGACTTCCATTGATCCACTGCTAACTTTACACCCTGTATGTAGGTGCGGATTTAGGATCACGTCTGGGGGAGGGGGGAGAAATAGCACCGTTGCTCGCTAGACCGCCCCCCTCCCTGGTTCCTCGCTGGTTATATAGTGTCGTTGATTTTTGAATTCGCCAAATATCATACAATTTCAAATCGCGGTTGGAACTTAAAAGATACAGGATAAATTCAAAAAAACTCTGTCGGCAATAGTACCGTTGATTAATCAGTTCAGTCGGCGCGGATGATACCGTTAGAAGTGTAAATTTAAAATCGCAGCTGTATTTTTAGGCTGATTTCTGATGAGACGGCTCGCGGCGAATTGTCTAATATTTAATCTATAAACGAATGAGTCAGATTAAAAATTATGTAGTAGGTTCTAAATTTTTTCCAGCGTAATTAATTGTGAATCATCAACAGTGGTTTTCAAGTTGGGTAGTTACGATAAATCAGAGTATCATTACAAGCATTTTTTAAAAATAAATATGAACTGTTTGGCTTTTGAAAGATGGAGGAATGAAGAACAAGGCGCAGATTATTGGTACACTAGTACAAACATTAGCTATGCTATAAAGTTAATGTACCAACAGGCTTTAGTTGGTTTGGATGATATACAAGTATGTATATGTATATTGCAGGAAATAGAAGTTTCAAGGTTTTTCAAGGTTAACTGTTTGAAGCTTAATCCTACCAAAAGTTTTGCAATGTTATTCTGTCTTAAAACCAACTATGAAGGTTTTGAAAGAACAATTGATTTAAGGGTAAATAACGTCCACATTCGACTTGTCACACATGCAAAAAGGTCTCATTCTTCATCACCTCAGTAATATATTAAAAACTACGTCGGTTGCTTTTCCGAAAACTCCTGTGTTTATAATCAGTTTTTACAGAGTGAGAGATTTAAATTGAAAAAAATGGATTTGCTGCCATTCACACAGATTTTTAGAAAATATTTGCAGAATTACTACAGTTGCTTATTATGAAACTCTTGTACATCAGATCATGGAGCTCATATTTGACTATGACAGATATTCAGAAAGCTCTGATGTGGAAAAATTGTGACATAGGAGGTTTCACCAAAACAATGAAGATATGCCAGCCTGACGCGCCTATTTTCTAATCATTCTATCCTCAATTCCAAGATTTGAAAGAAATTGGAAGAGAGTTTGTTTATGTCTAAGCCACTTTACTGCTTTATCCTATTTTGTCATTGTCTTGACTCCATAACAAAAACCAGATTGTAGAAAATTCAAAATCATTGCTGTCATTTAGTTTTTGGCCTTCGTACAGCAGTGTTTCCTCATCGAAGACCAGTTCATTCTACCTTCAAGATAGCCAACTATATATACTGTATCTCCAGAAAATTATTATCTGACAATCTCTGAAAATATGTAGATGCTTTACTTCTGCCATCTCAAGGATAAACTGTTGAGTCATTATTTTATCATAAGACAAACAACATGGTTCCCTTTAGATGTTATAGTACTAGTTCTCGCATTTCAGATCCATAAACAATGCACATGTAGTATTCGTACTTGCAGATTGCATAACAATTAACCAGTGTGTTACAACAGTTCAGGGTATGCTATCAAGGATTTTTGGCGTTTTTGGAATGATGGACAAGAGTGATGTGTCTGGTACATTCAAAAAATTACATAAAATATATGTTTCCCATGAAAGTTTTCAAAAACCCCTCTGTATGTGATTTTGTTATGTAAATGAATAAATCTGGTGCGTAGATTTCTAATTTGACGTCAATGTGATGCTAGGAAACATGGGAAGTACCAAATAACCTCAAAGTTTTTGAATATGATATTCACCAACTGTAGACAATGTAAATGTGTGACAAAGTCCTATAGTAGTTAAAGTGACATATTAAAATCTAAAGATATTTCAAGCAAATTTTCATCAATTATGCACTATTCTAATAGATGCTAAGAATTAACATTTTAGTTATTTTATTGCAACAACTTTGCCTGATTTTGAGGTTCAAAAATCTATGGGTATGTTAGGGCCAGGGAAGGGGACACGATTCATTCCCATTTGATGAAATCAAACAAAAAATTATCCCCATTTCTGCAAACAAAAAATTGAAGCGGATCATTTACCATATACTTGTAGAGCAACCCTTTTCATACGTTTTTACCAAATATTTTGTCTACTTACAATTTCCCCCAAACAATTAGCTATACTTCTCAGACTAGTTTGGAGGAGAGACGAAATGTTACATTAGGGAAGCTATTATTTTTGTATTAGAACAAAAATATAAATTTATTACAGTGGCAGTCCTTTTATCCATTGTCTAAATCACCTAGCCTTAAGAGAACCTTTAAACCATGACACCGTGACACTAGCAAATGATCAAGGAAAAAAATTATAAATAAATTAATCTCCAATCAGTGTAGGTAAAAAAAATTACATTCCATATTAATTTTCGTCAAGACCTGCTGCTTTTCACAAACTCATTTCTTGAATTCTTCTTAAATTACATGATACAGAAAAAAAGAGCTATGTAAATACCATTTAAAGGTAAAGTAAATTTAATGAAGCATAATAATGATGATTAAAGCTTCTTCTTACATTATTTTTGCTTAATTAAACAACAAGATTATGACTAATTGTAATATCCTCATTAGAAACTGTGGTGTAGTAAGAAATAATGTTTTACATTGATGTAGGACAAAGTTGCACTTATATTACTAGGTTTCTGTACAAAACATAGCATATATGGATTTCAGAAGTAGATAAGAATAGCACTCTAGGAAGTTTTATATTTCTGTAAATACATGCAACTAACTGATTGAAATATTATCAGTAAATATTAATAATATTGATAAGAGCCTTAGAATCACTACAGAATTATTGTACCTTTCTTAACCAATACACAATTTTTGATGTTTGAAAAAAATGAAAATAATGGAAACAATACTTATTTAAAGCATATTTTAGAACAGGTCACCAGAACAGTAAGCAACCTAGCCTACAACATTTAAATGAGGTGGGATAGCATTGACATAATGCAACAGCTTAAGAGAGAATTTAGATGTGATTGATTTATAGAAAATTTTAAGCCTTGTTCTTGTTTTAGATACCGTAACTATCCTTGAACCACTCTGATTCTGCCAGAAGCCAACCACAAAGCCATTCTGACATCAGGAGAACTCACTGCTCAGAATCAGAATGGCAATGAAATAATTGTATGTAGAACCTGAATAAGGCTATAAACTCATAAAATTCTTCCAATAACAACATCAAAAAGATATATTCTAACTAACAGGTTGGTATATTGAGATGTTTCAACTGAAACCCATTGCCTCACATAGCTAAAAATAGTCTAATCAGACAGATAAGTATTCTGATTAGATCAAAAAAGTTTGATACAGTAATCAGAAATAAAAATATTCAATATTATAATGTAGGTTATCACCAACTTGTAAATGAAAACATATTGTCTAGTTAACACAAATTTCAATAATAACATTATTATCAATCAGTTTGTTACTACTGTAAACAGTACAATAAAAATTACAAGATGATAGTGATAAATCTGCATGAAAGAATAATTTGTAAAAACAAATTTAGGTTTCAACACAACTTATTCAAAAACTGTAAACAGAATAGAGAGGAGTATAGTATTTTTAGATTTTGCTGGCATTGATACTCCCAAAACAAATACTAAAACTAAACTAAAAACCACCATATATTTTTCTTAAATATATAGCATGTAATAATTCAGTTACAAATAAATAATTTAAGATTAAAAAAACCTCATGAAAATGGTTAAACAGGACAAGTGTATATACAAAGGTGTACAATATGAATCACCTTTTACAAGGATCATTAGCAATAGCTATCAAAATGAGAATAGGTATAACATATTTTTGATAGTATTTTAGAGGATAACAAACATATATTTATCATAAGCTTGGATGTGGCAATGGATTTTGAGTTTATTGGCAACATTTTAAAAATATAAATATAGTCTGAGATGTTTATTTTAAAATCATTTACTAAATTCATATTATTATTTGATATATATCATTAAATGTGGCATGCAAGCAAAGTTATAGATTCAAAAACGGATGTTAATCACCAAAAATAGAATATACACGTATGGGGTAAAATAGTAGTTGTGAACGCTAAAGGGCATTTAACACAAGAGGGAATTTATTTTTAGATACCCACATGGCGTCTATTTTTGTCGATTTTCAAAAAGTTTAAAAATACACAGAAAAAAATCAGTTCCAGTAAGCTGAAAACCAACGAGATATCGGATGTCACTACCATATAAAACAACGTCGAGATTTAATGAATTTATCAAGGATATTATAAAAAGAACTCATGCTACTGGTTTCTTGTGACCTCGAGGCCAAAGAGAATGATTCATAACAGCCGGTATTCTAAAAATGTCAGTTATTTTAGCGTTAAAACACCCCTGTCCGACATCAATGGGCGAGGTGAAAAACTTGTATAGTCTTGAACAGAAGGATATTGCAGTAGACCAAAATATTCATAATGCAACGGTGATTTTTTGACCGCCCGCTAAACATACTGGCGCAAATGTTCAATTTTAGCAAGTGTATAAATTGCAAATCGAAAATATGGCGACCGAGACACCGGCTTGCAGTCTCCGGTTGTCTCACACGAAAACGCATCAGAACTCGAGCAGCTCGATAGCAATTAAGCTAAAAATGATCGAAAACCACACACTTACCATGTTGGAATAATCCTGGAGGTAAAAATACTATACAATACTGAACTATCAGCGACACCGAATAAAAACGACTGTTCAAACTCGGAGGTCTGAAGCGGACGTTGGCCTACCGGTAGCTGTCACTGCGATTGCGCAACGGTGATTTTTGCTACGCTGGCGTTGCCAAATTTCCAAACTTCAATTCTGTGTCTTGGACGGAGAAAATCCATGAACCTTTGAATCCCTTTCTTTTTAGCGGAAACCATTGATTATGTATTATACCTGAAGGTAGCTAACCACATACTGTATTCTGACGTACAAAAAGACATCTGAAAGATCCCAGGGTCATGTATGAGATTAGACATTTAGGAATCTACCTTGAAAATAGTTTTTGGTTTCGTTGCTGCCTCATAGATAGCACTAGAACGTTCCACCTCTCATTTTTGGCGCCTCTCTAATGCCTGTTTTAATTGGGAATCTTCAAGCATTGGTTAAAACGTATGCCACCTGATATCTTCATAATTAAAATAGGCTAGGTACCTACTTATATGCTTATATGCTCATATGAAATACAATTTACATTTTTATCTCCTGTTCGTACTTGCATTGTTTAATGTATTCTACCCTAAGATAGCCAATCATGCTATATAGTTGATTATAACGTCTGTGAGACGCTATAACACTTTTTCAAAATAGATTTCTAAGTTTTGCGGAAAGGAGAAATATAGCTGTGACGAATTCTCATAGATGACTCTATGGTATCTCATATAATTTCTTGAACATGGGTGATTATCTTCAGGTACAATATGTTAATCAACAGTATTTATTTTTTGTGCACGTATGGTATATTCCACAATCTGTTTATAAATTTGTACATTCGGCAATGCAGCACTGAGCCAAAGTGAAGTTTCTTCTAAATTTTTCAATATACTTGACATTTTGACAAAATACTGTCATAATTCTCGATAAGCCACAGTATACAATGTCTTTAAACCTCCAAAACCACAATAGTATCAGGAAGTTTTCGTTTGAATTCAAATTCTGCTCCGTGTTACATATCGACGCGTAGGAACGGCGCGGCATTCAAATCAGCATATTTGGCAACTCGTATAAACTTATTACGTGTTAAAAATTACAGAAATGTTCAAAATTTGGCATGTAAAATCGTTTGTCATCTATGAGTGATTGCGTGTGTCATCGAAGAAAGCGAAATTTTATGTTTTTGTAGGAGAAAATCCGCTCACAAGTTTCAGCCAATACAAACGCTCCGTCTTCTCAGATGCCCATAAAAGGTAAAGAGAGGAGACGTTTCAAAATGGCGGCTTAAATTGAATGTTGGCGCCACGCCCTCGAAAATCATCGATTTCTTTCAAATTTGAATACGCTTCTTTGAAGATATAAACGTTTATCTAAAATTATAGCTATGCTTACATTTTTTAAAGGTTTTAATGTTTGTTAGAAGTCAACACTGTTTTTATCATTGCAAATAACATTTACCATAACTAGGAGTGCCGTCATTGCCTTATAAGGAAATTATTTTATAGGTACCTGTATTTGTACGTAGAAAGTCCCCTACCTGTGCCTTCATTCTGAAATGCTTTTACCAAAAAATGTTCTTCGCCATGCGCATTAAAATTGATCAGTGTTCACGCATTATGTAGAAAGATAAAATATGAATATATGTATGTATACCTAGCTATGATAAATATACCCAGGCATCTAGGAACCTAACTAGTTCTATACAACCCAAAATAGCGTAGGTATAATCTGTGGCGTAGGTGAAGGTATAATACCTACCTTATAAAGCTTCCTCTACTCGTAGGCTGCATATTAAAGAACGTCTTGTGTTTTGAACCGAACAATATGCTTTCACGTAATTGCAAGTTTGCAAGGAAGCAACCTTGAAAAGAACGCCTGTTTGAAAACAAAATCCAAATAATTATCTAAATAATTCTTTCACCCACCTACCTATCCCATTATACTTATGCCAGAATATATTTTTCCTTAACTCATATACTTATAGGTACCTAAAATGTTCAAAATCTGTATTTTTTGTTTAAGGAAAACCTTGATGCTTATTTTTTTCTAATATAAGTAACGGGTCAAAATAACTATTCCTTGGCTCAAGAACAATATTATACAGCTTTAATAAAATTTATCTGTAAATACAGTCTAGGCAGTATAAAATTTTTGAATTAAGTCAACCCAACTTTCAGTTATGAACCATCATATTCATGCAACCAGCAATACAGCACTTTAATATAGCTTGGCATTACGGTTGCCTGACGTATGGTGTATCTGAAGTCACTTGAAATAGCATAAAACCTTTGGTCGGCGCGTCCCTTGTAATTTCATGACTTATCATAGGCGTGCGGCATTTATTTAGAACAATAATAATAATGTTTTTATATCACAATAAATGGATTTTACTATCTTCTTATTTTTTTGATTTGGGATAAAAAATACTTATATTGTCTAATTTATGTTGACTGGAAGTTAAGAAATGGAAAAATTACAGAATTCCAACGTTTGACATAGGCAAATATTTACATAGCAGGTAGGTATATAAAAAGGTGTATAAAGACTTACATTATAGGTATTTATATATCATCCTCGCCTTCGGAGCTGTCGCTAGAGTCATCTTGTAGAGGAATTACAACGGGATTTACAGGAGGCAAAACACAATATTCATTTTCTTTTTCAATAATATGCCTAGAACACTGCTTCCATAGGTCTGTGGCAGCAATATGAGATACTGCATCCCTTATTGTGGCCAACACCGATTCACTTAATTGAGGGGTATGATTATGTTTTCTTACTTTTTTTTTAAAGCAGCCCAGACCAACTCAATCGGGTTAAAAATGCAGTAATAGGGAGGTAGACGTAATACTTCATGGTCATTTTGCTGAAGCAGATTGTCAACAACATACTCTTTTTCAAATTTTTGTCTTTTAATAAGATCCAATAATATGGCTTTGGTTGATTTTTGTGGTATTTCCATTCCCTTATCCTTCATAAAATCAATAATGTCTTGTTTTTTTGTGCCTGTATTCGGAATTTTGTTTTTCTGTCGGGAATGGTATGGCGTGATTCGTTTTCCACGGTTGCATGGTGCATTTAAAATGCACTTGTTGCTGTCGTCAACCCAGCCGTACTGCACAACATCATGGGTATCATACCACGTTTCATCCAGGTAAATCAGATTTCTTTTCTGCTCTCTATAGATTTTAACTTTGTGCAAAAATTCTTGGCGCAATTCAACGATTCGAGACGACTCCATAATCACCATTCTTTTATCTAATTTTTTGTATTGAAAACCACACAGTTTTACAATACAGTGCAGTGAGTCTAAGCATTTGTAATTATAAAAATCTTCAGGATAATCTTTCAATTTATCCCGTATCATTTCCAACGTGGGCACCAAATTTTCTTTATAAAATCCGTATATTATACGACGAATATCTTCCTAAAAACCCACGTCTATTCTTTTTAATTTTTGCCCTATGCGCTTTCTGTGGAAGGAATGGTTGACTACATCTCCCCTTTTTATAACCCGATAAATGGTAGACCGACTGATTTTTGTCAGGATACAAATTCTGTTTAAAATTTGATTTTGCGAGGAATCTGGATTTTCGTTTTTCAGACAATCATACATATTTAGGATTACTCTTTGGGTCTGTTCCTCTAAATCTTTATGAAAGAATTCTGCCTGCACAGGTTCATCAACCATCTCCTCGTGGCTTGGAGCATTTTCCCAAGGTCTCCAAAGAGCCATATTTAGGACACACAAGAACAATCAACACAACAATTAAATCAACAAGTAAACTGAGTATTCAAGAGTCAAAAACACACAAACTAATAAAATCTCTGAAAAAACACGGACAGACTAAAGAAAACACGTTTATTCACCGCTACACGACACTGGCTAAACTGTTTCAATTTTCAGTAGCCACCTGCACTTGTTCCGAGCTCTGAAATACACGCTTTCTCATTGGCTATGTCCACGCATAGGCGTGCTTTACTCCACGTGGACCGGTGAAACTGCCTTTGATCTCTTATATATTTGCTGCGAAATTTGGCGATTTTTGCAGCAACAGAGCGTGTTAAATATAGATATATAAAACGCACCCGGTATTTCACAGTGTTTCAAGTGACTTCAGATAAAGTATACAGGAGCGTATAAAATGATAACGCAAAATCCTTGCAGGCAGATTATTAGATTTATTAGCATCTACAACACCTAAGGTTATTTGTTTTATTATATGTCTTTACATTTGAAATAATACCATATTCGGTCTTTGATAATGTTTGTACCAAAAAAGCTCACTCACAAAGAGCATCAATGCAATCAAAACTCCAACAAGCCAAATCATATAGACAAGAAAAAGTTCGTTAACTCCTATTGGCAGGGCTCTTAGATCCAACATGCATTCTGGTTTGGCAGCGATCCACATATTTAAAGCCCGTTGACGCATTCCACGTTGGTTCATCACCTGCAAACTAAAAAATCTGTTCACAAAAGTTCCTGCAAATTCTTACGTATTTTAGTAGTCGTATCAAGGTGACCTAACATCAAAATTATAGAGACTCGAGAAATATTTCAAAACCTCTTATACAGGATAGATCTTCGAGAAACTATAGGTATAACAATATGTGCGTTTGATTACAATTTACACACATTCCTAAATATATTTTATAATGCCATCTTATATTTGGCTTCGTGTAAGTGCAGGATTTTTTGACTACGAGCCCCTTCCCACTTCAGTTGGTCCACTTCAAGATTTGTACCAAAATATGCCTTTATAAACTAAACATGACGAAACTATTTACTTCTAAAACAATTTATTTTCTCAAAAACATTTTAGATACACTCTAGTCGTAAAAAATACATAGGTATTTGAAATCACTTAGACCTATAACTAATAGAATATCTGAACAAATAAACAACGTGGGAATAAATGCGCGAAGTTAACAAAGCAACAATTGAAAGATTACCATTGGGTAACATCACCTTTATTTTTTATTACGGCTGAAATTCTTTGGGGCATAGTGTTAACCAAGTTTTGGCAAAAATTTGGTGTAAAACAATCCCATATTTCTTGAAGCTTTTGTCTCAGTTCGGTGATTGTACGAGCAAGATGTTGTAGAACCTTTTTCATCTCGTGCCACAAAGTTTAAATAGGTGACAGATCTGGACTGCTAGAAATCCATTCCAAAAGTGGTACATTATTTTCTTCCATTCATTTTATAGCCTTTCTTGAGGTATGGCACGCTGTACCATCTTGCTGAAACACAAAATCTTGGCCTGATGTCAAACATTCTGCCATCACTGGTAAAAGCGATTCTTCTAAAATTGCCAAATATTTGTTTGTATCCACATTTCCATCAATAAAATGAAGTTTTCCTACTCCTTTTGATGACAAACTGCCCCAGACCATAATGGATGCTGGAATTTTCACTTTTCTCTTCAGACAGTCAACATGGAATGCTTCATTTTTTTGCGAATAACTCTACTACGACTGTCACCAACACAAACTTGTTGAGGTGTCCATTGTCTATGTTCTTTAGTCCATCTAAGCCGATTTTTATTTTGCAGTGGAGTTAATAGTGGTTTTTCTTTGGCCTATAAACAAGTTGTACAACTTTAGGGTTTTTACTTCACTTTTTTTTATAAGAAAACTTACCTTGCAAGTGCTAAATCCCAGTTTGTGGGCCTCTCTACGAGTTGTGGACCTCGAAATTCTCCTTCCAACAGCGTCACTCCACAGAGCACTTAATTGTAAATAATTGCCACGCCTGTTTTTCACGATTATTCTTCTTAATGCTCTTCGGTCGTCATTTGTGATATTACTTTTTTTCACATATCGTGGCTTATTATTAACTGAACCAGTTACGTTATATCTTCTAACAATATTTCTCACACTGTACCGCGATAAGTCTAACCAAGTTGCAATTTCTGAGTTTGATTTCCCAGAATTAAAAAATTTAATTATCAGTAACCGAATTTTCTCACTAATAACCTTTCCTCTACCCATTTTGAAAACCTTGACTACTCAAAACTATTTAAACGTAGGGGAGACCGGATACAAAAGTAACGGCGGGTCGATAGTAACAAATGCTCGTGTTTTCACATATCAAAAGTAAGTTTTTACAGGCTTTCTTATTTTATATTTACGTAGTCTTAAAAGGATGATAGTAATCTGAATGTTTGGATATCTATTCTTGATTAGAGTGATTGTACATTGCTTAAATTCATTTTTGAGTAGCACGTTCCGTTTCAAGGTTGTGTTGCTCATTTTGGCAAAAATGTGGACGGGTATAAAAGTAACATAGCCCTGTGGGTACAGGGGGGACAAAAGTAACATGTTACTCCTAGACTGAACCAGTTACGTTATATCTTCTAACAATATTTCTCACACTGTACCGCGATAAGTCTAACCAAGTTGCAATTTCTGAGTTTGATTTCCCAGAATTAAAAAATTTAATTATCAGTAACCGAATTTTCTCACTAATAACCTTTCCTCTACCCATTTTGAAAACCTTGACTACTCAAAACTATTTAAACGTAGGGGAGACCGGATACAAAAGTAACGGCGGGTCGATAGTAACAAATGCTCTCTAGATTTATCCAATGAGCGAACACCGCGGCGCCGCCGACAGGCCATAGCCGGTAGCGCCCCCCTTAATTTCATTCAGTCGCCGCATGCGCTACGCACTGTTAGGCTGTGTGACAAGACGTGTTTTCACATATCAAAAGTAAGTTTTTACAGGCTTTCTTATTTTATATTTACGTAGTCTTAAAAGGATGATAGTAATCTGAATGTTTGGATATCTATTCTTGATTAGAGTGATTGTACATTGCTTAAATTCATTTTTGAGTAGCACGTTCCGTTTCAAGGTTGTGTTGCTCATTTTGGCAAAAATGTGGACGGGTATAAAAGTAACATAGCCCTGTGGGTACAGGGGGGACAAAAGTAACATGTTACTTTTGTCCTCGTATAATATTTAATTATCGATCATATTTTTCTTACTTATTACGTACTTTTTTATTTTACTTACTTCAACAGAATGCCGCGACAACGCATAAGGACTACTGAACGAGGAACTACCGACACAGAAGTGTATCGAAAAGCGGCTGAAGAGCATTTCAAAGATGGTGCAAAAATTTGGGCCAGGCAAGAAAGTATAATGTTTGCCATGTAACATTATATAGATATATAAAAAAAGTAAAAGCAGGAAATACTAACGCAGTTGTGGGCTACCGTTGCGTCAACCGAGTTTTTACTAATAACGAGGAAAGTAATCTACGCAACTATTTAATCGAGTGCTCTGCAGTTTATTTTGGATTATCTCCATCTGAAGTACGTAAACTGGCATACGAGTTAGCGATTAAAAATGGAAAAACATTTCCTGAAAAGTGGCACGATAGTCGAATGGCGGGTAAGGAATGGTTGACGGATTTTTTAAAATGACACCCGAGCTTGTCTTTAAGATGTCCTCAAGCAACGAGTCTGTCACGGGCTTCAAGTTTTAACGAGCATAATGTGAGTAAATTTTTTGATAACCTTGCTGAAGTAATGGATAGGTACCAATTTGAGCCAAAAGATATCTGGAATATGGACGAGACAGGGGTAACCACTGTCCAAAAACCTAGTAAAATTGTAGCTCAAAAAGGAATTAAGCAAGGAGGTGCAGTAACCTCTGCAGAGCGCGGAAGATTAGTAACTGTTGCTGTTACCATTAATGCTCAAGGAGGACACATCCCGCCGTTTTTCGTATTCCCGCTGAAACGATTCCAAGACCATATGATACGTGAGGGTCCTGTTGGTTGTGCTGGAGCTGGCAATGCTAGCAGATGGATGCAGGATGCAGAACTGTTTCTACGAGATTTTAAAAGGCAAGTCAAGCCCACAGTTGATCAAAAATGTTTGTTACTGCTCGACAACCATGCATCACATATATCTATTCAAGCTATAGACTTTTGTAAAGAAAACGGAATAGTACTGCTATCGTTTCCACCTCATTACACCCACAAGCTTCAGCCTTTGGATAGAGCAGTATTTGAGCCATTTAAGAAAATGATAAACACCGCTACAGACAACTGGATGCGAAATCATCCTGGTCGAACTGCCAATGTGACATGTAACAAAACGTTTTCCTTTTCCTGGAATTAATAATTTCATATAGTATTCAAGAAAACTAATAATAATGCAAGCAGAGTATCTTACAATTGTTGGTTCCAAATCTACCAGATATAGCTAAGTTTAGTGTAGCTAAGTTTTCAGCGGCGGCTCATAGATTCAATCTACTTGACACCATTTTTACAACACAAATGAAGAATTGGTTAGAAACACCTACCTGACGATTCTTTAGGCCATCTAAGAAGGCTTGTCTCGCTGATTTAATTGTAGAGTCAGCCCATACGTTAGGTTTTGTACGAGGGATGTCTTTTAAGTTTTGCATATAGAAACATAGTAGGTCACGCGGATCGAACGTCAGTACTGAATCTTAACCTCACTCTTTAGTAAACTTAAATTCAAAGTTTCACAACAATACGTGCAGTGTCTCACTACAGTGAATTTTTAAGTGTCACCAAGTCATTAGAAAATTGAAACTCAACCGAGAACATTTTCGCGCCATAATTTATTACAACTTTCAGAGACAATTATCGCAACAAGAATGCCTTGCTGAGTTAGTGTCTGTTTTTGGCAACGAAGCGCCACATCAGTCGACAATTTCGCGTTGGTATGGAGAATTCAAACGTGGACGGGTGAGTCTTAGCGACGATCCCAGGGTGGGTAGATAGACATGACATATCGCGAGATTGAGGCGTCCTTGAAAATCTCAAAGACCTCAATTCAAAAAATTTTACATGAAAAAATTAGTTTCTCGTTGGATACCCCACCTGTTCACTGAAGATCAGAAAGCAGCCAATGTTAATTGGTGTCAAAAAACGCTTGACCGTTTCAATTCCGGAAACTCAAAAAATGTGTACAGCATTGTTAGTGGTGGTGAATCGTGGATTTACTGTTTTGAACCAGAAAATAAACGACAGTCGGCTGTTTGGGTGTTCCAAGGTGAAGAAAAGTCAACAAAAGTCATCCGTTCTCGAAGCGTGTCGAAAAAGATGGTTGCGACATTTGTGTCAAAAGCGCGTCATATTGCAACAATTCCTCTTAATGAGCAAAGAACTGTTACTGCGGATTGGTATACCACCATTTGTTTGCCAAACGTTATAGTCCCGATCTAAGTCCTAACGATTTCTTCACTTTCCCGAAAATTACAAACAGACTGCGTGGTCAAAGGTTCCAGTCACCAGAAGAAGCAGTTGACGCATTCAAAAATGCCGTTCTGGATCTGCCAGCAAACGAGTGGAATAAGTGCTTCGAAAAATGGTTCGAGCGCATTTAAAACTACCTTCCGTGTTGTTTTATTTCCATATGCAAAACTTAAAAGACATAACTCGTATGTCCTGCATTTATCCAGGTTTCAT